GTCGAATGCGGAATCAAGTTGTCGAAGAATGATGAAGGTGAAAAAGTAAATTCAACACTTTTTAAGAGTCTTGTTGGGAGTCTAAGATATTTGACGTGCACAAGACCAGATATCCTTTTTGGAGTTGGGCTCATTAGTCGCTATATGGAGACACCTACCATGACCCATATGAAAACTGCAAAGAGAATTCTTCGCTACATCAAAGGTACGCTTGATTATGGCTTAGTCTATTCATCATCTAATGAGTTCAAACTTGTTGGATATAGTGACAGCGATTGGGGCGGAGATAGTGATGATAGAAAGAGTACGACTGGGTACGTGTTTTACTTGAGCGATACAGTTTTCACTTGGAGCTCAAAGAAGCAATCGATCGTAGCACTATCTACATGTGAAGCTGAATATGTTGCAGTTACATCAAGTGTCTGCCATGCGATTTGGCTTAGAAACTTGTTGAAGACGCTTGGAGTATCACAAGAAGAGCCAATCGAAATCCATGTTGATAACAAATCAGCAAAAGACGCTTGGAGTATCACAAGAAAAGCCAATCGAAATCCATGTTGATAACAAATCAGCATTGGCATTGGCAAAGAACCCAGTATTCCATGATAGAAGCAAGCACATTGATACAAGATATCACTTCATAAGAGAAAGCATTGCAAAGAAAGAAGTGCAGCTGAAATATGTAACCTCTCAGGAGCAGATCGCCGACATTCTCACTAAGCCACTCAAGCATGATGTGTTCCGCAAGTTAAGAACTCTACTTGGAGTAGCAAAATCAAGTTTAAGGGGGGATGTTGAGTAGTAAACTTGATTTTTGGACTAAATAATATGGGCTTAAGGATTTTGCTTATAGGCCCAAATCAATTAAAAGGCCCAACATGCATAGCATTTCTAGAAGCATTATCTAGAACAATCTATATAAATATCTATATAAATATCTAAGTAAGATATGTAGTTTTATAAAGAATATCTAGAGAATTCTAGGAAAATATCTTGATATGTGGTTTAGGTGTCTCTAGAAAATGTGTGGACTAGAATCTTCTTGTAAACACTATATAAAGGGGTAGTGCCCTCCATTTTGTAACAAACCAAAAAGTGTGTAAAGTCTTGAATTTGAGAAATACAAGTTCCCTTTTTCACTTCCTTCTTCCTATTAGTGTTGTCCTCTTAAAAGCCTTAACTAATTCAAGTTAGTAAACCCATCTTTCCTCCAACAACATATAATCCAAAGATGGAGAAAATAAAAAATATAATTTTTATTCAAAAAGCGCATTGATTTGATCTGATTTTCATAAAAGTTGAATGGCTTTGTTTTCAAAATATTTGCGACTATTCATTCGATGAAACTGGCAAAAACTGTTTCATGGATAAGGGAAATACTACCATTTATGCAGGTTTTAGGTTGGTCAATGTGGTTTTCTGGTTTTCTATTTTTAGAGAGAACTTGGGCCAAAGATGAGAACACACTGAAGGTACAACTATGCTCGGCCTCTTGTTCTAAATTTCTATGAGAATAAATGCCATCTTTGTCTATAACATAGTTCTTATAGGTGTGTTATGCTGCAGTCAGGATTCGAAGGGTTAAGTGATTACCCCCGGCCTTTTTGGTTGGCTCTTTTTGTTGAAGGAACTCGCTTTACGATGGAAAAGCTTTTAGCGGCCCAAGAATATGCAGCTTCAGCAGGTTTTCCTGTTCCGAGGAATGTTCTGATTCCCCGCACCAAGGTTATTTTTGTGAATAATGCACATATGCAAATATAAAGGTTCAATAGTTGATTCATTATCTCAGGCCATAAATTTCCCTGCCTTAGTTAGAGGTTCATTTCCAAAATAGCTATTTCTTTAGACTAAACGATCTTCTTGAACCAATGGTCATTTTAATGTTCTTTATTCTCATTATGTTGTGCCACTAAGATTAAAATTTTATATTTCGCAGCTGGTCTGTAAGAAAAATTTCAAAGCATATTCTGTGTCTATATTTATGAGTTTTATCTTTTCAAATGGTGTTTTACCAGGGTTTTGTTGCAGCAGTAACTCATTTGCGCTCATTTGTTCCAGTAATATATAACATTACACTGGCTATCCCAAAAAATGAGCCTCGGCCTACATTGTTAAGACTCATCAGGGGACGTTCCTCTGTGGTATGCCATCAACTTTTGACAATTTTTCCTTTCCAGAACATTCTAAAACCTGCTCTCTTTAGGTTTACTGAGTCATTAATACGTTAAATGAAGAATCTTGTAACACCTAGTTATGATCAAATCATGCTGAGCAAGTTCTGGATTTTAATCTTTTTTTTTTTT